ACTTCTGAAGGATTGCGAGCACATGTGATGTTTATGTAAGTGTCATTGTGAGTTAACATGTGTCTGCTGCAGGAGTCAGCTTGTGAAACTCGAGCCGCGATGGGTCGGAAGGAGATCGACTGCAGCTGGAAGAAAATCACCAACGACATCAAGGACATTTTCGACTTCAAGGAAGTTCTGGGGTCGTAAGTATCAAGTGTTCTGTGTGTGCTGAGTCAGAAATCAGTGCAGCGCTCCTGAAGGTGTTTTTGCTATTACAGGATCAGCAGCTTTAGCTCTCAGAGGAGGCCACATGCGTTCCACAGCAGTGCTAATCCAAGCCTGAGACACAGATTAACGGATTGAGGGCCAGGGGACATTTTTATCAATGAAGCCCTTCATCCTCTTGCTCCTATTGAGAGAAACCTGGAGGAACCATTTAGCAGCTATACATAATATTATACGGCGTTATTCAGCATTGAGAAGTGTTATGAAGCTTCACCAAACATTATGAGCTGTTATAAAGCCTTACAAAGTGTTCTGAAATGTTATGAAGCATTACAATGCATTTCAAAATGTTATGAAGCTGTTACGAAGGACTGTTATCTCTTACGACGGTTTATGAAGGGTTATGAAGCGTAATTATATATTATAAAGTATTGTAAAGTGTACTGAGGCATTGTGAAGTGTTACAGTATAAAACTTTATGAAGCATTATGAGATGTTTAATAGGCACTATTAAATGAAGGTTTATGAGGTGCTATGAAGCTTTATGGAGCTGTATGTGTTAAGGCATGAACGAACCATTAGCCTATATGAGGAATTGTTTATGAAGCATTACAAAGCATTTCGAAATGTTATGAAGCTGTTACGAAGGACTGTTATCTCTTACGACGGTTTATGAAGGGTTATGAAGTGTAATCATATATTATAAAGTATTGTAAAGTGTACTGAGGCATTGTGAAGTGTTACAGTATAAAACTTTATGAAGCATTATGAGATGTTTAATAGGCACTATTAAATGAAGGTTTATGAGGTGCTATGAAGCTTTATGGAGCTGTATGTGTTAAGGCATGAACGAACCATTAGCCTATATGAGGAATTGTACAGTTTTATGAAGCATTATGAACCATTACGAGGAGTTATGAAGTGTTATGAAGCATTGTGAGTTGTTATAAAGCATTATTATGACACTTTATGAGGTGCTATGAATGATCATCACAGACACTACAAACCCGCAAATATCACAGACCCCAATATAAACACTACAGACCAAAACCACCAACACCACAGACCACCAAAATAAACAGATCACAAACATAATCATCACAGATCATTTTCACAGACCATAAACATGACAAAAACATGAACATAAAAACCACAGACCAATATCACCAACACTTCAAACCACAGACATCACAGACCGCTAATATAAACACTCATATCACAAATATAATTATCACAGACCATTATCACTACAGACAATGAACACCACAGACCAATATCACCAACACTTCAAACCACAGACATCACAGACCACTAATATAAACACTCATATCACAAATATAATTATCACAGACCATTATCACTACAGACAATGAACACCACAGACCAATATCACCAACACTTCAAACCACAGACATCACAGACCACTAATATAAACACTCATATCACAAATATAATTATCACAGACCATTATCACTACAGACAATGAACACCACAGACCAATATCACCAACACTTCAAACCACAGACATCACAGACCACTAATATAAACACTCATATCACAAATATAATTATCACAGACCATTATCACTACAGACAATGAACACCACAGACCAATATCACCAACACTTCAAACCACAGACATCACAGACCGCTAATATAAACACTCATATCACAAATATATAATTATCACAGACCATTATCACTACAGACAATGAACACCACAGACCAATATCACCAACACTTCAAACCACAGACATCACAGACCGCTAATATAAACACTCATATCACAAATATATAATTATCACAGACCATTATCACTACAGACAATGAACACCACAGACCAATATCACCAACACTTCAAACCACAGACATCACAGACCGCTAATATAAACACTCATATCACAAATATATAATTATCACAGACCATTATCACTACAGACAATGAACACCACAGACCAATATCACCAACACTTCAAACCACAGACATCACAGACCGCTAATATAAACACTCATATCACAAATATAATTATCACAGACCATTATCACTACAGACAATGAACACCACAGACCAATATCACCAACACTTCAAACCACAGACATCACAGACCACTAATATAAACACTCATATCACAAATATAATTATCACAGACCATTATCACTACAGACAATGAACACCACAGACCAATATCACCAACACTTCAAACCACAGACATCACAGACCGCTAATATAAACACTCATATCACAAATATATAATTATCACAGACCATTATCACTACAGACCATGAACACCACAGACCAATATCACCAACACTTCAAACCACAGACATCACAGACCGCTAATATAAACACTCATATCACAAATATAATTATCACAGACCATTATCACTACAGACCATGAACACCACAGACCAATATCACCAACACTTCAAACCACAGACATCACAGACCGCTAATATAAACACTCATATCACAAATATAATTATCACAGACCATTATCACTACAGACCATGAACACCACAGACCAATATCACCAACACTTCAAACCACAGACATCACAGACCGCTAATATAAACACTCATATCACAAATATAATTATCACAGACCATTATCACTACAGACAATGAACACCACAGACCAATATCACCAACACTTCAAACCACAGACATCACAGACCACTAATATAAACACTCATATCACAAATATAATTATCACAGACCATTATCACTACAGACAATGAACACCACAGACCAATATCACCAACACTTCAAACCACAGACATCACAGACCGCTAATATAAACACTCATATCACAAATATATAATTATCACAGACCATTATCACTACAGACCATGAACACCACAGACCAATATCACCAACACTTCAAACCACAGACATCACAGACCGCTAATATAAACACTCATATCACAAATATAATTATCACAGACCATTATCACTACAGACCATGAACACCACAGACCAATATCACCAACACTTCAAACCACAGACATCACAGACCGCTAATATAAACACTCATATCACAAATATATAATTATCACAGACCATTATCACTACAGACCATGAACACCATAGACCAATATCACCAACACTTCAAACCACAGACATCACAGACCGCTAATATAAACACTCATATCACAAATATATAATTATCACAGACCATTATCACTACAGACCATGAACACCACAGACCAATATCACATGCACTGCAGACCATTAATATCACAGTCCACAAAAATAAGCTTCACAGGTTATTTTAACAGACACATCTGGCCGTAAATAACACAGACTAATAATATAAACTCTACAGACCCATATCGCCAACACTGCACAGACCATAAACATCACAGACAAACATAAGCACCATCTCTCATTATCACAAAGCTCAAACATAAATGCACTGCAGACCATTAATATCACAGTCCACAAAAATAAGCTTCACAGGTTATTTTAACAGACACATCTGGCCGTAAATAACACAGACTAATAATATAAACTCTACAGACCCATATCGCCAACACTGCACAGACCATAAACATCACAGACAAACATAAGCACCATCTCTCATTATCACAAAGCTCAAACATAAACATGATAGCTAGAGCTGGGTTTTGACACAAATTTTGCGATTCGATTCGATTCTGACTCACAAGCTTTCGGTTCGATTTCCGATTCGATTAGATTCAATTTAATAACGATTAGTCTAGATATATATCAGGTACTGTACATGTTCAATTTTCTCAAGGAAAAAACAATCTCAACTAATGCTGTAAAATATACATAAGAGTCCGTTGGTACTACATTACTATAATATTGAAGGTTAAAATGAACTGACTTGTATACAAGCACTTAAATTACACTCAGTGAAGTTTTTATAATAATAAAGTTACAATTACATAATTATATTTATATACACCAATTTGTTTTTTGAAATATAAACATTTAAATGGTTCAACCATAAATTAAACATTGAAGAACAGTAAAAATTATAATGAATATGTTGTATGGTGCATATATTTAGCAAAATGCTCCTCTCTAGAGTTCATTTCTCTAGCTGACTAATGAGTTTTATGGTCACAGAATATGTTTTTTCTGAGGTAAATGTGACGTTACGTGACATTGTTTGCAAGGTGTTATATTGACGTCTTTCCACGGTTAAAAACACTGATTGAGCGATTACATGAGACAGGATACAGATTTAGGTAAGTTGAACTCTTTCTTTGAACATACCTTCACATGTTCATTAATGCTTATTTTGTGCTGTAAATTGTAGTAAAGCGAAGGAGATGATCAGATCACGCGTGCTTCGCGCTGCCGCTTCTCTTGAACTGAGGTGCTACAGCGATCTGTCACTCCACATTAAATAGTGCCAAAACGGCATTTATTGTTTGAATACTGTAATAAAATGGTAAGAATTTGAAATCTGAGACTTTGTTTCATATCAAAAGTAACAAAGCACAAAGCCTATTGCAATTTATTGGATGGGATGCATGCTACAATGTTTCGTTCATGAACTGAAAACAGGCTAGACTAATAGATTATTGGGATTAAAGAATCAATATTGTTGCGTAAAAATGAGAATCGATTAAAATCGAGAAATCAATATATTTTACTCAGCCCTAATGATAGCCCTTAAATATGTCCTACAGACCATAAACACTACAGACCATTAGCGCAAACACCTTTGACTCCACAATGTACACCACAGACCACAACCCCTAAAACAACTGACAAAACACAACAAACCAGCACCAAACACCACATTCTGGATTCTTCTAAGTCTCTCTCTCGCTGTCTTTCAGGATAAAGCATGATAATGTGGTGGGACTGGAAGATTTCTATGAAACGAGGACACACTATTACCTGGTCATGGAGCTGTACGTGTTTAATAATGCCTGAAATATACACGCAAACACAATCCCACACAGCTTTTTAGCGTTGTTTTAACGTGTTTTTGTGCGAAGGGTGTCGGGCGGAGAGCTCTTCGACCGTATTCTGGATCGAGGTGTTTACACGGAGAAAGACGCCAGCCATGTGATCAAACAGGTCCTGGAGGCCGTTTCCTACCTGCATCAGAACAGCATCGTCCACAGAGACCTGAAGGTGAGAGAAGACGATCTCCTAACGCTCGAGTTTTTAACGAAACGTCATTAACGTCCATGATTTTATCCGTCTGTAGCCTGAGAACCTGCTGTACTACAGTCCAGACGAGAGCGCCAAGATCATGATCAGCGACTTCGGTCTGTCCAAGATGGCCGATCACGGCGTGATGTCCACAGCCTGCGGAACACCAGGATATGTTGGTGCGAGTGTTTTTACGCAATCATATTTCTATTAAATTTCTGTTAGGTTGCTTATAATGTGGTGTTTCTCCTCAGCTCCGGAGGTTCTGGCTCAGAAACCGTACAGTAAAGCTGTGGACTGCTGGTCTATCGGCGTCATAACCTACATCTTGTGAGTCTGGGCTCATGTAGACTCTTCTGAGAGACATTCAGTTGTGTTTTTCCTTCAATCTCTTATGTGTTTGTTTAGGTTGAGCGGCTACCCGCCGTTTTATGAGGAGAACGAAACGCGCCTGTTCTCCAAAATCATGAAGGCAGAATACGCCTTCCACTCGCCGTACTGGGACGAAATCTCTGAGTCAGGTTTGTCACAGACACTTTACAGATGCAGAAGCCTAATAAACATGAAGAGATGTTACTGCCACCTGGAGGCCATCAGCTGTACTACAACATCAACCTCTATAGAGATTATTCAGGCATAGATTTTTTTTCCCATGTGAATAATTGTGATTATTTTCTTTTCAGTTCAGATCAGTTCAATTCATTCAGCTGTCCATTTTAGTGAATCAATTCATAACTCTGATTCATCAATTCATAACTGATACCAAAGAATCATTAGCTTTGATTCAGTAATTGATTTAGAAAATCGATCAGATCCTATTGAATCAGTGAATCGACTCATTTGATTCACTATTCGACGCACTTGACTCAGCAAGTCAATTTATGACTGATTCAGATTACTGCCACCTGGATGCCATCAGATGTACTACAACATCAACTTCTATAGAGATTATTCAGGCATAGATCTTTTTTTCCCATGTGAATAATTGTGATTAAGATCAGTTCAATTCATTCAGCTGTCCATTTTAGTGGATCAGTTCATAACTCTGATTATCATTACATAGATTTGATTCAGTGATTGATTTAATTGATTCAGCATATATCACAGAATAAAGAGCCAAAATATACCACCAAAATAAAGAGTCAGATCACAAACATAATCATCACAGATCATTTTCACAGACCATAAACATGACAAAAACATGAACCTAAAAACCACAGACATCACAGACCGCTAATATAAACACTCATATCTCAAATATAATTATCACAGCAACTCAAATGAATTGATTTAGTGAACAGATCCTATTGATTCGGTGAATCGACTCACTTGATCCACTATTCGACTCACTTGACTCAGCAAGTCTATTTATGACTGATTCAGATTACTTTGTTTTTACCCTGTGAATAATTGAGACTAAATTCTCTCTTTTTTTGATTTCTGCAGCAAAGGACTTCATCAGGCACATGCTGGAGAAAAACCCTAACAAGCGCTTCACCACCGAACAGGCGCTCGGTCATCCATGGTGAGAAACAAAGAGAACCTCAGTGCTGTTTTCCATTCAGTCATGAATACACATGAATAAAGACATTTATTCATGAATAAAAGTATTGGACTATGGAAGAAAAAAACAAACTGATTCAAGACTAACTTAATGTTCAAACAATGGTAAAACAATTGAATTGATTTATTAATAAACATACGAATCAATTACAGTATTAGCATGAATATAAAAAGAAAATGTATTTATAATCAAACATATCGATTCATAAGTAAACGTTCTCATTTTTAAATAAATATGTTGATTCATGAAAAATATAATTTCGTTATGAATAAACATACTTGTGCATTAGCAAAATAATGCATAAAACATGCAGATTCAAAATTAAGTATACTGGTTTATGAATAAGCAAACATTTTGAAATAAGAATGTTTACATAATAAGTAAATACTCACAAGAAGCATACGTTAGATAAGTAATCATACTTATTAATGACTAAATAAATGTATAAGTTGCATGTAGATTCATAAATAAGTATACGGATTTATGAATGAAAATTAATTTTAATATAACCATGGTGATTTATGAATAAACATTGATTCATGAATAAACAAACACCATTTCATGAAAAAAAAAGTATGGTGAAAAATCATACTTTTTCATTAATAAACAAATAAACATGCTGATACATGAATAAATATATTGGTTTATGAATAAGCATTCATTTTAAAAGAAGCATGTTTATTATTTATACATTTGTTTATTCATGAATAAGTAGGATTATTAATCAAACATGTTTTGTTCATAAATCAGTGTTTATTTATGATAAGTATACAGATTTGTGAATAAAAAGACGTTTTAAACTAAGAATCTTAATTCATGCATAAACACTGATTCATGAAAAAACATGGAATGATGAATTAACAGACTTTCAGCATCATCTGATGCATAAAAACATGCAGATTCTAAAATAAATATGCTGATTTATTAATATATGTTAATTTTGAAAAGCATGAATAAACACTGATTCATGGGGGTGGGGGGGGTGTGTATGATGAGTAATCATATAAGAAACAGAAACTTGCATGTTGATAAATAAGTCGATTTGATGAATAAATGTCTGTTCAGGATCAGTGGAGACACGGCACACAATGACAACATCGTTCATTCGGTCTGTGAGCAGATGCAGAAGAACTTTGCCAAATCTAAATGGAAGGTGAGCGAGAGAGCAGATCATATATTCGGCTCATTATTAGTGATTACGGATGTCTGTATGACGATGCGTGTGTTTCAGCGGGTCATTAACGCGACGGTGGTGGTCAGTCACATGCGGCGGCTCCAGCTGGCCCACGCTGACCCTCCGGCCCCGGCCCCGCTCATCCAGGTGCTGGACATCTCGTCTCCCGGCCCGCCCCCCGACGAGCTGGACACCAATGGGAACCCCTCGTGCAGTCACATGACCTTGTCGCCTCAGGGGCGGGGCCCGCTCAAGGCCTGCAACAGCGAGCCGATGCACTCGCTGGTCATCTGTGAGACGGGGCAACACGCGTATCGCTCCGAGTCCGACCTGCCCTGCGCCGCCAACAGGTGCAAACCAGACTATCAATACATTTTGATTACGTATATTTGTAGAGACATTTTGGGGGCACTTCAATGGACCGGTAGCAATTGCAATTATTTCATGTTCGGAATTCACAGTAAGAGATGTTTTATTCAATTTGATCTCAAATTGCTTTTAAATTTAAACTTCAGATGTGAAAACGATGTTTGAGTTGATTCATTCAGCTGTCCATTTTAGTGAATCAATTCTTAACTCTTGATTAATCGATTCATAACTGATACCAAAGAATCATTTCATACATTTGATTCAGTGACTGATTTAATTGATTCAACAAATCGAATGAATTGATTCAGTGAATCGACTCACTTGATCTACTATTCGACTCACTTGACTCAGCGAGTCGATTCATGACTGATTCAGTGAGTCGATTCATAACTCTTGATTCAATGATTAGTTTACACTCAAAAATGTTCACTGAAGTCTCCTTGTGGCGTTTTTACTGTTGATGGTTTAATGCAACAAAAACTATTAATAAAAATTCCAGTTTTCAACTATATTGCAATTTATTGCTTATAATTAATGGAAAATATTGATATTTCATGTATAGATTTATATTATATAAATATTAATGTACAAATGCTTTTACAAGTGAAATTTTACTGGTAAATTACTATTAAATATTTGGTTGAAGTTAAAAGTTCATTTCATTGTAAATATGTCAGTATTTTCAAATAAAATGTTTTTTTGTGTGTGTGTGTTTCAGATCGGACAGAGTGACATGTTGCACAGATGGGCGGGGCCAGTCCCTGCAGACCGGGGTTTGCTCTGTGATGTGATGGGATGATTGACAGCTGTCAGTCAAATGAAGTGAGTAGGGCTTGGGCCCGCTGCTTTGAGCGTCTCGTGACAGTACAGGTGTGTGACGTCTCTTCTTCTGTGTCTCTCTCAGATCCTGCGCTCGTAGGATGATCGAGTGTGTGTTTTTCACGGACTTTTCGGGATCCGTCACGAGCCGAGTGCCAATCGCACACACGTCTGCGTCTCAAATCTTCATCTCTCACTAGCGAAAGTGTAATTTCGAGGAGTTCGAGAATGTCTTTTCTTTCAGGGATTCAGGATGAGGCAGGTTTATTGTATTATTATCATCCGTATATTCATGTACGATAGTCGTGTTTGGGCCGATGGCGGTGCATCATGGGAAGGGCGGATCACACGTGCCACTGTTTTACTGTGAACGGCTGCAGGTTTGAGTGCTTTTAAGCTAAGAACTGTGTTTAAATTCTGATTTTCTGATTTTAAACACACCATTGTATTCTCTATATTCATGTTTTATAAATGCATATAAGATGATTGTATCTGATATTTAGGGGCTTATTACTGTAATCCATAAACACGCTGCTGTATGTCTGTATTAAAAAAACATAAAATGATTTACACACCAACATAACATCCTGGAGAATTCATCTGTGTTTTAATGTCATATTAATGGAATTTTACCTTCAAAAGTTGGCTATGTTTGGAATTGCATGCTAGTATTCTACTCGTATGATATCGTCTCCACTATGCAGAAATTTTTGTGCACAAAATATAGACTAAATTTGTATAAAAGTGCAGTACTCTGGTGATATTTACACAAACGTAGGTTAAAATATGAAATGTAATAAGCATATAAAATATATACCCAATTTGATTTGAATTTTTAGGTGAAGTTGAATCATTTTCCTATGTGCTTTTATTTTTTATTTAGCTTTTAGTGATCTTACTGGTTCAGTGAATCGATTCAATCGAGTCAGCAAATCGGTTCACTTGATTCAGTGATTTGACTCACTCCATCCACTATTTGACTCAACAAGTTGTTTCACGACTGATTCAGTGAGTCAATTCATAACTCTGATTCAGTGATTCATTTGCATCGCCACTCGAAAATGTTCACTGAATGATTTAATGATAAAAGCTTATTTATATTGCTGTGTTTTAAACTATATTTGCAATGTATTGCTTTTAATGTCTAGAAAATATTTGTATGTATTTAAAACTGCTTTAGAAACTAAAATTATAGAGATTTTTTTACTTAATACATTAAACTTTTTTAATGCAATGGCTGAGTTAAAAATTCATTTCATTGTAAAAATAAATCTCAATAATACCAAATAAAAACTAAAATTCTCTGCGTGTTTCAGATCGGACAGAGTGACTTTTATAGTATTTAATAAATGAGCTTTTTAAAAAATACATTTTTCAGGTTTCATTGTAACTAAAGTTTTTGTAATTTTGTTTTGTTCTTTTGCCATTTTTGTTATTTTTTTTTTTTTATATCAGTAGTTGTAATTAATGAAACCCTTTTTGAACAGTTTTAGTTATTGATAACAACACTGATGTACACTGCATACTTCCTTTAGTAAGCAGTCTACAGTGCTCACTGTGCAGTATGCTAGTATTCCACTGTAAATATTAACACACACTCACAAGAATCTTCATTCAGACACTTTATTAGTTGCTTTATTAGTAGTGTTGTTCCTGGTGTGTGTTGTGCTTCTCAGCCCTGGCATATGCTCAGGCTGGTGACTTTATAGCGGATGTCGTCTCGGAGTTTCTTCACCTGATCGTCCAGACCGGTCAGTCGCGCTGCATTCTTCTGCAGCTCCGCCCCTCCTTGACGAACCGACGCCTCCTTATCTGAGAACACACCCACAACAGCACCGGTTAGCATGGGGATGTGTGTGCTGAGCATTATGGGATGGGTGTGTAGTGGGCGGTACCTTTCAGAGCCTGCATGATGTCGCTGGTGTCCGTCATCAGAGACTCCGCCTCCTTCTGCAGCACCTGTAAGTGGGCGGAGTCTTCGCCCGCCTCAGTGCTCTCAGCCGCCGCACGCTTCAATCGCTCAAACTCCTTCTTCAGTGCTTCCAGCTCCTGAAACACAGGAGATTCAAAATTTTAATCTAACTAATTACATGAGATGCCGATTAATTAATCACAAATTAATTGCATTTTTATTAATTTAAATTACCCACAAAAGATCACTTAAATTCATTATTGTTTTTATATAAAAGCAATGAAGTCATTAAAAAAAGCTTTAGAATTGCGTAAATCATGATGCTAAATCATTTTTAAAAAATGGCATGATACTCTAAATCTGGAACTAAGTGTCGGATGTGGCAGCAAGTCTTCATGAGTGAGTCGTTGAATCATTCATTTAACCAATTTGTTTAAACGGCTGATTCATCTGGAAACGAAGCAAGTACGTTTCTTTACGAACGAGTCACTGAATCATGAACTCACTCACTTGATTCATTTATTTTTAAATGAATCAAGTGAGTGAGTTAATATAATTATTATTTCTTATTTGTACGCATTTATAAATTACGAAATTACAAATCAATAAATTATATTATATTTTAACGAGTTACAATTTATTAACGTTCACGTTAGAAAAAGCTTACAAATATATAAAATAGTTAATATATAATTTATTCATTTATGCGCAGTGATAAATTACAAATCATTAATTGAATTTTATATTCAATTAATTTATGTATTTAAAAAATGATTATTAAAATTTAATTATACTGTAAATATGAAACGGATTCATTCAAACGGCTGATTCTTTCAGAAAACGAAGCAAGTGACTGTCTTTATGAACGAGTCATTGAATCATTCACTCATTCAATACGTTCAAAATTGTTGATTCATTCAGTAATGAAACGCCACTGTGCGTTCATTTTCTTCACAAACAGCGCCGTTGTTACCGCGCTTTTAGCTTTTAAAATAAACTCGCCAGAGTAGCACTAACAATGTATGTTTCTGTACTGTAAGTTATGTACAGTATGTGCGTCTGTGTGGTGTGTGTTTCCGCACCTCTGCTGCGTGTTCGGCTTCGCCCTGAGCTGAATCGGCCTGATCCTGAGCTTCGTTCGCATGCGTCGTTCCCGTCGTCACATCTTTCATATATAATTTATTCATTTATGCGCAGTGATAAATTACAAATCATTAATTGAATTTTATATTCAATTAATTTATGTATTTAAAAAATGATTATTAAAATTTACTGTAATACTGTAAATATGAAACGGATTCATTCAAACGGCTGATTCTTTCAGAAAACGAAGCAAGTGACTGTCTTTATGAACGAGTCATTGAATCATTCACTCATTCAATACGTTCAAAATTGTTGATTCATTCAGTAATGAAACGCCACTGTGCGTTCATTTTCTTCACAAACAGCGCCGTTGTTACCGCGCTTTTAGCTTTTAAAATAAACTCGCCAGAGTAGCACTAACAATGTATGTTTCTGTACTGTAAGTTATGTACAGTATGTGCGTCTGTGTGGTGTGTGTTTCCGCACCTCTGCTGCGTGTTCGGCTTCGCCCTGAGCTGAATCGGCCTGATCCTGAGCTTCGTTCGCATGCGTCGTTCCCGTCGTCACATCTTTCCTCAGGTCGTCCAGCAGGGGGCGCATCTCATCCAGCAGCCCTGTGACTCCCACAATCCCCTGCTCGGCGGGCATCAGCGCATCCTCTATCTGAGACACACAGGCCATCGGTCACGTTAGCGTGAATCTGGACGTTGTTTCTATGGTTTTTCGCTCAGATCTCAGACTGACCTGTTTGACGTCGTTCTTGACATTGTTTGCGATGTCGACGCTCTGACGGATCTTGTCTTCCAGCTCATCGAAAATATCCTCGTTGTCGTCCATCGTCTTCAGGATGCTCTCAGCGTCCTGCTGGATACCGAACGCAGCGTCACTGTAGACCACAACGATCGGGAACGTTAGATAAATACTGAATGAACACCAGACAAACTATTAAAATGAGCTGTTAACGTGTGTGTTGTGTACCGTGTGTTGTGCACTGTGTGTTGTTATCGTGTGTCGTTAGCATGTCTTATGTAACGTGTGTTGATAACATGTGTCGTTAGTGAGTGTTGTTGCCATGTGATGTGTACCATGTGTCGTTAGCGTGTTATCGTGTTTTGTATACCATGTGTCGTTAGCATGTGTTGTGTACCATGTGTTGTTAGCGTGTCTTATGTAACGTGTGTTGTTAGCGAGTGTTGTTGCCATGTGATGTGTACCATGTGTTGTTAGCGTGTTGTGTCTTGTATACCATGTGTTGTTAGCATGTGTTGTGTACCGTGTTGTTAGCATGTTTCGTTAGCGTGTGTTGTTAACATTTATTGTTAGCACGTGTCATTAGTGTGTGTCGTTAGCATGTGTTGTGTACCATGTGTTGTTAGCGTGTCTTATGTAACGTGTGTTGATAACATGTGTCGTTAGAGAGTGTTGTTGCCATGTGATGTGTACCATGTGTTGTTAGCGTGTTATCGTGTTTTGTATACCATGTGTTGTTAGCATGTGTTGTGTACCATGTGTTGTTAGCGTGTCTTATGTAACGTGTGTTGATAACATGTGTCGTTAGTGAGTGTTGTTGCCATGTGATGTGTACCATGTGTCGTTAGTGTGTTATCGTGTTTTGTATACCATGTGTTGTTAGCATGTGTTGTGTACCGTGTTGTTAGCATTTTTCGTTAGCGTGTGTTGTTAACATTTATTGTTAGCACGTGTCATTAGTGTGTGTCGTTAGCATGTGTTGTGTACCGTGTGTTGTTAGCATTTGCCGTTATTGTGTGTTGTGTACCGTGTGTTATGTAACGTGTGTTGTTAGCATGTCCTTAGCATGTGTTGTTAGTATGTTGTTCGCATATTGTGTACCTTGTGTTTTTAGCTTGTGTTGTACGTATACCGGGTTGTTAGCCTGTGTTGTGTACCGTGTGCTGTTAGCATTTGTTGTTAGCATGTGCTGTGTACCCCTTGTTGTTAGCATGTGTTGTTAGCATGTGCTGTGTACCGTGTGTTGTTAGTGTGTCGTTAGAATGTGTTGTTAGCGTGTGCTGTGTACCGTGTGTTGTGTACCGTGTGCTGTTAGTATGTCGTTAGCGTGTGCTGTGTACCGTGTGTTGTTAGCATGTGCTTTGTACCGTGTGTTGTAAGCGTGTGTTTCTAGTGTGTCGTTAGCGTGTGTTGTGTACCATGTGCTGTTAGTATGTCGTTAGCATGTGCTGTGTACCGTGTGTTGTTAGCCTCCTCCAGCAGGTGTCTGGCGTTCTCCAGCTGCTCTCTGCTGCTCTCCAGGACTCTGCTGCTGTCTGGCAGTGAAGATGCCAGATCCTGCAGCTCCTTCAGCTTCTGCTTCAGCTTCTGCACGCTCAGAGGAACCTGAGCATCCAGAACGGCCTCGCACACCCGCTGCACCTCATCCGGGTCTGAATGAGGCTCTGAGACACAAAACAACAGCCGACTCCAGTGTGAACGACTGCCGAACCGCTTCACAGAGACTAAAACATTCATAGTATATACTTGGCAGTGTGCAGTATGGCAAAGTAAAGTAAAAACCCACCTGACAGGAAGTCTCTGAGATTGTTTATGAAGTCTTTGGTGTCCTTCAGGTCTTCATCCACGTCGGCTTGCACCTGCTTGATCTGATTGGCCAGCTCATCTGTGGACAGTCTCACCCTATTGGCCGAATCTTCAGCTTCCTGTATCTGTGTTTCAGAAGGTGTGTTTGGTTTAAAGTCATTGTAAAATTTAAATTGACTAGTCTAATTAGTCTTACTAGCTAGTTGTGTGTGGTCGTACCATCTTTATATTTCACTATTTCAATTTTATTTTCCGTAATTGTGTCCTTTTCATAATTTTGCCCTATTTTAATATTTAAAGATTATAATATTCTAAATTATATTTAGAATATTATTATATTTATATGTAATGTTTCAAATGCAATATTTAGTTATTGCCAATTTAATATTTATTAATTTCATGTTTTGCTTATTTATTATTCATTTCATATGTATTTCTTTTTATCATTTATGATTATTTGGTTTATGACTTTTCCATAATTTTGTCTTTTTAAAATGTATTTTCATTAATATAATATTTTCTTTGTATATTTATAGTATTTATATGTAATGTTCATAATTTAATATTTAAATTAACTTAATTTAACATTCATTTATGTATTGTTATAATAATTTAATATTCAGCGATGTTATGTAATAGTAATTTTATTGATTTCACTTATTTATTTTTTTACTTTTTCATAATTTTGGCTTTTAGATTTGTTTATGAATTTACTTTTATTACTTATTTGCAATTATTTTTAATATTTCAGTTTCGATATTTTTTTATAATCATGACTTTAAAAAAAAGGCTTTATTTTGAATCTTAATTTCTCATAATTTCTTTATATTTCCAAATTGCAATTTTATTTCTCATAATTCTGGCTTTTTACATGTTTTCAATTTATTTATTTATGTCACATTTGATTAATTATTATTTGTTTAATATTTATAATTATTAGGTCTATATTTTGACTTTTTCATATTGTCCATAACTTTTTTTATTTCTCGTAATTTTGACTTTTAATTTAATACATTTTGCTTCTTTATAATATTATAATTTTCTTATTTTTAATGTAATTATTGTGAATGTGTTGTGGTACCTGTGCAGCTGCTTGCGTGATCTTGTTGTTGAGATCCTGTAGTTTGGCCTTCACCTCGTCGGCGTCCTGGAAGGCTTTGTTGGCGTTGGGCAGCGCTCCGGCGCAAGGCTCCTCTGCTCCACAAGGGGGCGCTCCGTCAGGAGGACACAGATCGCCAGCGCAGCGCTCCGGAGTGCAGGAATCCACACGATCACCGCCGCACACCTAACGAACACAACGTTACTGACCCCATCTGCTGGAAAACCAACACTTCTGCTCAGCCAATCACGTGCAATCACTCTCACCTTGTTTGCTGTGGGCGTCAGATTCGGCCGGGTTGCCAGATCCTTCTTGAGTTTCTCCAGGTCTCTAGTGTTTCCGGGCTGCACGTCTCTCAGGTCACTCAAGGCGTTTTCACGCAGGCCCTCTGACTTCTTCAGCGTGTCTTTAGCAGCGTCGGCTCGTTTGACGGCGTCCGTCGACTTTTCGTACGACTTCTGGATGGCGTAGAAGGTGCCTGAGAATGAGAGGTTTTTCATTAGAGGTCATACTGAGGAATCTGACGCTAATAAAGATGGGCACTGCACACGCACTGGCGTTGTTGGATCCGGCGGTGTTAGTGAAAGCGTCTCTCTTGGTGAAATATTCAAGACGCAGAGACGACAGAAGTGCCTGCAGGTCGTCCAGACTGCGATCAATATCACCGTCCCTCGGCTGCGATGCCAGATCCTCAGTCAAACCATTCAGCTGAGACCTGCAAGAGTGTTTAAACAAACACAACTCTGACTTTGTCTCAAATTCTCATTATTTCTCCTAATTTTCACTGCAAACTGCATCTTTAAATTTCACAATTTCTATTTTGACTTTTAAAAAAAAATTTTTTTAGGTTTATTAAAAAGTTCTAGTAATGTTTATATTTAATAAATAGTTTTATTTAGCTTGATAATTTAATGTTTTATTATTCGTTTAATTATTATTATCACTTATAATTATTCTTTTTTCATAATTTTGACTTTTTCTGTTTCTCATAATTGCATCTTTGTATTTCCCAATTGTGATTTTATTTTTTTATAATTTTACTCATACTTTTAGCTTTTTTATTTCTGTTTTTGATAATTTTGATAAAATTGTTTTTTAATTTAATTTGCATTACTCTAGTTGTATACATTTAATATTTACCTATTTATAATATTATATAATATTCATATTTAATTATTTAATATTTAGTTATTGCGATTTAAAATTTATTATTTGTCATGGTTTGTTAATCTATTATTTATTTAATTTGTAAAAGTGCAGTTTAAAATTATTTATTATTATTATTATTAAGTGTCAATTTTGACTTTTTCATAATCTGAACTTTATTTTCCCACAATTTAGCCATTTATATTACATTTTTATTCATTTATGTTTTATTTAATATTTCTATGTGAAATTTAATTTAATTTATTATCATTTGGTCTCAATGTTGACATCTTTATTAGGGGTCGACCGATATGTGGTTTTCAGGGCCGATGCCGATTATTACAGATCAAGTAGACCGATAACCAATATTTTAAACCGGTATATATGTCTGGTGTAAAAATTAAAACTAATGTCAAAATTAAGAATAACAAGGCCTTGACAAAAAAAAATCAGACAAAAAATTATTTAAATGCTTTTCAATTAATTTATCGGCAAATCGGTTTTGAAAATCACCAATCCCGATAACCATAAAAATGCTTAATATCGGCACCGATAATCGGCTTTATATTTCCCAACTGCAATTTTATTTCTCAAAATGTTGACTTTTTCATAATTTTGGAATTTATATTACTCTTAACTGAGACTTTATTTCTCATAATTGCTTAGTATAATTACTTATAATACTTACATTTAATTTAATATTTACTTATAACATTTAGATTTAATGTTTACAATTTAAAAATTGTTATATTGCCAATGTCATATTTATTAATTTATTATTCATTTAATATTTACATATATATATATATATATATATATGTATACATATATTTTAAGTATTATTTATTATTTGGTCTCTTATTTTGACTATTTCATATTTGAGAATTTTTAATTGTTCTTTACTGTGATCATTTTGACAGATGGTCAGTGAGCAGCGAGTCGGTCTGTTGGTGATGTTGTACCTGATCTGGTTGAGTCTCTGCAGGGCGTCGGTCAGTGCGCGGCTGGACTGTGGCGGGACACTCACGGTGTCCTGCAGGCGTCTCAGGGCGTCCATCAGCGTGCGGATCCTGCGGCTGGCGTCGCTGGAGGTCGGTCTGCCGCCGGACAGGATCAGCTGGTTCGAGAGTCGCTCCAGGGTCAGCGTGAGCTGCTGCAGATGCCCGTTCATGCTGAAGAAGCAGGACGGACATGCTGGGCATTCTGGGAAACTGGCGCAGTAGCCGCGGCTGCAGGCGTCGCAGCGGGCGCCGGTTACGCCCGGTTTACAGAGACACGCGCCTGTGTGTTTGTCACAGCCGCCCGACTCCGTGCCCGACGGGTCGCAGTTACACGCTGAGAGGAAAGAACAAGAAACCAATCAGCGTTCTGTATTATTGATTTTTTTATTTTTGTAATATCGATTTATTGTTTTTATTAACTTTTTATGCTTAATTGAAGTGTATTTATTTATAATTTGTTTGTGTGGGCAGGAAACACTCACGTCTGCAGCCAATCAGAGGATCTCCGTACGTGTTGTCAGGGCAACCGCTGCAGGTCCGGCCCCCGATGCCCGGGCGACACAGACACTGACCTGTGCGCTGAACCACAGGAAACACACGTAAGAATCACATCATGTGATCATATGATGTGTGTGTGGTCATGTGATCATGTGATGGTGTGTGTGATCATGTGATGTATGTGATCATGTGATGTGTGTGTGGTCATGTGATGTATGTGATCATGTGATGTGTGGTCATGTGATCATGTGATGTGTGTGTGGTCATGTGATCACATGATGGTGTGTGCGATTACGTGATGGTGTGTGTGGTCATGTGATCATGTGATGTATGTGGTCATGTGATCATGTGATGGTGTGTGTGGTCATGTGATCACATGATGGTGTGTGCGATCATGTGATGGTGTGTGTGGTCATGTGATCATGTGATGGTGTGTGTGATCATGTGATCACATCTTGGTGTGTGCGATCACGTGATCATGTGATGGTGTGTGTGGTCATGTGATCACGTGATGGTGTGTGCGATCACGTGATGGTGTGTGTGTGGTCATGTGATCACATCTTGGTGTGTGTGGTCATGTGATCATGTGATGGTGTGTGTGGTCATGTGATCACGTGATGGTGTGTGCGATCACGTGATGGTGTGTGTGTGGTCATGTGATCACGTGATGGTGTGTGTGGTCATGTGATGGTGTGTGTGTGATCATGTGATGTATGTGGTCATGTGATCATGTGATGGTGTGTGTGGTCATGTGATCACATGATGGTGTGTGCGATCACGTGATGGTGTGTGTGTGGTCATGTGATCACATCTTGGTGTGTGTGGTCATGTGATCATGTGATGGTGTGTGTGGTCATGTGATCACATGATGGTGTGTGCGATCACGTGATGGTGTGATGTATGTGGTCATGTGATCATGTGATGGTGTGTGTGTGGTCATGTGATCACATGATGGTGTGTGCGATCACGTGATGGTGTGTGTGTGGTCATGTGATCACGTAATGGTGTGTGTGGTCATGTGATCATGTGATGGTGTGTGTGGTCATGTGATCACATGATGGTGTGTGCGATCACGTGATGGTGTGTGTGTGGTCATGTGATCACATCTTGGTGTGTGTGGTCATGTGATCACGTGATGTGTGTGTGGTCATGTGACCATGTGTGTGATTGCATGTACCTGGTCACAGGTGGCGCTGCGGGCGTTGACGGGGTCACAGTTACATGGCTGGCAGCCGTAGGGCGATGACGGGTTCCAGTAACCCACAGCACAGCGGTCACATGACAAACCCTCCACATGAGGGCGACACTCGCACTGACCCGTCAGCTGATCACACACACCGCTGACAGAGCTGTCTGGACTACAAGAGCACTCTACACACACACACAAACACACACACACACACACATGAAAAACACAGTTTGAATACATTCACTTCATCTTTTACTTTAGCATCTTTTTTACTTTTATTTATTATCATTATTTTTTCATCATTTAATATGTATTCGTGTTGCTTTTGTTTAATATAATGTAATATATTTGATATATTTCATTAAATAATTAAATAATATAAATTTTATATTATTTAATATTTTACATATTTTCAATAATTCGTTTTTATTTATTTAAAATGTATCAATTTCAGTGTTTTTTTGTTTAGTTTATTTGAGTGCTTAATAACGGGAACAGACTATTTCTCTGCTTGAGGTCAGGGGTCAAGGGTCAGGGGTGACTCACTGGAGCAGCCCAGAGGGTTGTTGGCGTTGAGGTTGTAGTATCCAGCTTTGCATCGGTCACAGCGTTCGCCTTCTACGTTTGGTTTACACACACACGCTCCCGTCTGAGTGTCACACTGACCACCGTTCACAGAGCCAGCCGCGCTACGCAGACAGCCTGATGTGATCATGTGATGTATGTGGTCATGTGATCATGTGATGGTGTGTGTGGTCATGTGATCACATGATGGTGTGTGCGATCACGTGATGGTGTGTGTGTGGTCATTTGATCACGTGATGGTGTGTGTGATCATGTGATCACATCTTGGTGTGTGTGATCATGTGATCACATGATGTGTGTGATTGCATGTACCTGGTCACAGGTGGCGCTGCGGGCGTTGACGGGGTCACAGTTACATGGCTGGCAGCCGTAGGGCGATGACGGGTTCCAGTAACCCACAGCACAGCGGTCACATGACAAACCCTCCACATGAGGGCGACACTCGCACTGACCCGTCAGCTGATCACACACACCGCTGACAGAGCTGTCTGGACTACAAGAGCACTCTACACACACACACAAACACACACACACACACACATGAAAAACACAGTTTGAATACATTCACTTCATCTTTTACTTTAGCATCTTTTTTACTTTTAATATTTTTAATATATTTAATATTTTACATATTTTCAATAATTCGTTTTTATTTATTTAAAATGTATCAATTTCAGTGTTTTTTGTTTAGTTTATTTGAGTGCTTAATAACTGGAACAGACTATCTCTCTGCTTGAGGTCAGGGGTCAAGGGTCAGGGGTGACTCACTGGAGCAGCCCAGAGGGTTGTTGGCGTTGAGGTTGTAGTATCCAGCTTTGCATCGGTCACAGCGTTCGCCTTCTACGTTTGGTTTACACACACACGCTCCCGTCTGAGTGTCACACTGACCACCGTTCACAGAGCCAGCCGCGCTACACAGACAGCCTGCGACACACACACACCTTCATCAGCATCAGCATCATCCTCACAGTGAGTGTGTGTGTGTGTGTGTGAGTGTGTGTGTGAGTGTGTGTGTGTGTGTGTATGTGTGTGTGTGTGTGTGTGTTACTCACGCAGGCAGGCGTCGGGGCTCCTGATGTCGCTCAGAGGGTTTCTGTAGTAGTTGTTAGCGCAGCGCTCACAGTTGGGGCCGGCGGTGTGATGAGTGCAGTCGTCACACACTCCTCCACTCCTGCGACCCATCGCCTCGTAACGCTGCGCGTCAAAGTGACAGCGATCCGCGTGATTATTACACTCACAGCCTGCAGGGGGCAGAAACACACAATATGGAATAACAGTTTATTATATTTTGTTGATTTAATTTCATATTTATTTTTTGAAGTTTTATTAATGTAATTAAATTTGATGTTTATTTGTTGATTTAAAAATTGTATTTTAATTCATTTTTTATTTAATATTTATTTTTTTATATTTTAGTTGTTAATAAAATGTCATATTAATTTAATGCCAATCAAATATAATAACTTAATAATTTCACTTTTAGCGAAACATTTATGTGCCATTTAATTTAATTTATTCATAGTTTATTTAATAGTAATTTATTTAATAAATTGTTTTATTCATGTAATTATACTATTTATATATATATACTTAATATGTATTTTTTAATTAATAATTTTTAAATTATTTTAATATGAAATTATATATTTTTATATTTATTTACTGCCAATCCAGTAAAACATTAGTTCATTAAATGTTAGGAATCTAAACAATTGAATTGTATTTTATCCATTTATTCATTCAATTATTCATTTATAGTTAATAATTATTTTTTTATTAATTTAACATAATAATTTTTTTATTAATTTTATATAAAATTAAATCATTTTATATGTATTTATTGCTAATCCAAAGTAATATTAATTACATTTTTATTCATCTAATATTCATTCATTCAATTATTCATTTATAGTTAATAATTATTTTTTTATTAATTTAATAAAAAAATTAATTATTTTATATGTATTTATTGCTAATCCAAAGTAATATTAATTAAATTTTTATTAATCTAATATTCACCTAGTATTTTTATGTGCAATTTAATTGTATATATTTGTAGTTATAGTTATATATATATATATATATATAATTAGTTTTTAGTACAGTTTATTTCATATTTATTAATTTAATTCTTATTTTATTTATTACTTAATTTTTTGTGTAAAAAGATAAGACATTTTTACTCCAAAAAAATTGCTTTAAAATTGTAAAACATTAAAATATCTATTTTTGTGGTGATTACTAGTAATGAGCTCATACTGTTACATACACATAGTAGGCAGTATGTACTAGATAGCCAATAATAGTATAATTATAATGAATTTGATTAATAGCCGCTAAATCGTCACATGCAGTGCAGTGTGTGTGAGCAGCCGTACGTTTGCAGGTGTGTGTGTTTCCGTTCTCCGCGGGTCTCCAGGGAAGGTCATTGTGGAGGTCGTCACATCGCTCACAGTTCACGCCAGCCGTGTTGTGCTGACACTCACACACACCGCCCACCTGCAGAACAAACACACACGTATGAGCCGCGAATGTGGGGTTTAGTGTGTGTGAGTGTGTGTGTCTGTGTGAGTGAGTGAGTGAGGGGGTGTGTGTGTGTGTGTGTGTGTGTGTGTGTGTGTGAGTGTGTGTGTGTGTGTTTAATTTTTATTTTATTTATTACTTAATTTTTGTGTAAAAAGATAAGACATTTTTACTCCAAAAAAAATTGCTTTAAAATTTTAAAACACTAAAATATCTATTTTTGTGGTGATTACTAGTAATGAGCTCATACTGTTACATACACATAGTAGGCAGTATGTACTAGATAGCCAATAATAGTATAATTATAATGAATTTCATTAATAGCCGCTAAATCATCACATGCAGTGCAGTGTGTGTGAGCAGCCGTACGTTTGCAGGTGTGTGTGTTTCCGTTCTCCGCGGGTCTCCAGGGAAGGTCATTGTGGAGGTCGTCACATCGCTCACAGTTAACGCCAGCCGTGTTGTGCTGACACTCACACACACCGCCCACCTGCAGAACAAACACACACGTATGAGCCGCGAATGTGGGGTTTAGTGTGTGTGTGTGTGTGTGTGTGTGTGTGTGTGAGAGA